CAGAGTCAGCCGCCGGCTGAACCTGTCCAGGGGCTGATTCCAAGAAGCCTGGGGCAGAGCAGGTCTGCCTCCGGCTTCCTGTAGTCAGCCGCTGGTCAGTTTCAACAGCGGCTGAATCTGGACGCCAGTTCCGACTTACATAGAAATTCAACTTAAGAAGAAACCTACAGTCCCTATCTTGTACGTAACCTGGGGACTGCCTATAACTAGTTGTAACCTATTGTTTGGCAGTGTTCCCTGAGCTCAGCAAGTGACACTCCACCCAGCGCTGTTTGTGTAACAAACTCTCCTGCTTGCTTCCCATATGGTGTCCAGAGTCTATTCCTTCAGTAAGGATGTTAAATACCAGTTAATTTACTAGTCGACTAGTCGATGGAATTTCCTACTTTAATTAATTTAAGTCGACTAGTCAATAGGCACTTCCACATTTCTCTTCTGAAATGCACAAGAGCCCCTATAGGGCTCTTGTGCATTTCAAAGCGGAAGCGCCAGCGCAGAGCCTGGGGTCAGTGGGACTTCCTGCTGGCCCCAGGCTACACGTGGCGTGCCGGGTTTGAAATGTACAAGAGATCCCAGAGGGGGCTCTTGTGCGTTTCAAAGCAGAAGCACCCGCATGGAGCCTGGGGTCAGCGGGGAACTCAGAGTCCCCCACTGACTCTGGGCTCCATGCGGTGCTGCCGCTTTGAAATGTCGCACGGAGCTGGGATCAGCTCAGGACTCCCGTGTGGCATTTCCGTGAAACCCAGCGTCAGCTGGAGACTCCCCAACTGACCCAGGGATCCACTCACTTTGAAATGAAAATTCTTTGCATGGCAGCTTTTGCTCAATGTGAGCAGCTAAGCTAGAGCTAGAGGGTGAAATTACATAGCACAATGTTCCCTCCTTCTCTTCATTACCTAACAACAACAGTGAAATAGAACTGTTTTTAAAAATACTCATTTTTATAGGTAACTTCAAGCTTTTCTCTGAGAAGGCTCTATGCATTTCCAAACAAAATATTGCACTGTGAAAAAAGTACACTAACCTGGAACATCTGTCGCACCTTTCTGCGAGGCAGATTGACATTCAGTTTATGCATCAACTGGTGGATCTCTTCAATATTCAACAAGCCATCTCCATTCTTATCTGCTTCCTCAAAGGTCTGTTTCACCCAAGTGCAAATATCTTAAGGAAAGGTTGAATGATTTAAATGTATTTATCATGGAGAATTACAAAGGGCCAGATTCCACCAGTCTTGCCAAACATGACATGCTAATTAGTCCTACAATATAAGTAACAATGTCACAATTTGTCCCAAGATGACAGAATTTGGTCCATAGTCTGCATCAAAACCATGTCCATTTCCTCTCTTTGGCTATATCTACACTGTAGCCTTCTTCCGGAAAAGCTTATGCAAATGAAGTGCAGAATGGAATATCGCCACGCTTAATTTACATAATTAATTAGCAGCCATTTTTGCACAAGAGGCTTTTGTGTAGACAGCTCCTTTTTGTGCAAAAACCCGCTCTTGCGCAAGAGCTGTTCTCTCTTCCTCATTTTTTCAGGAAGAACGGCTCTTGCGCAAGAGCGGGTTTTTGCACAAAAAGGAGCTGTCTACACAAAAGCCTCTTGTGCAAAAATGGCTGCTAATTAATTATGTAAATTAAGCGTGGCGATATTCCATTCTGCACTTCATTTGCATAAGCTTTTCCGGAGGAAGGCTACAGTGTAGATACAGCTTTTGGGATAAATTCATCCCTGGTGTAATTTCTCTGTAGTGAATAGACCAGATGCTGATCTCACAGAAGTGATACATTAATGTAATTCTGTTGATTTCCATAGTTATTCCAGATTTACACTGGTATACCTTGGATCAGAATTATGATGTCATTGAAGCTACAGCAAAGATGTATTTGGCTCATGATTTGTACCATCAGGAGTCTTGCTCAATGGGCTTGTGTTTATTAGTGATAAAATTCATCTAATACTGGAACATGGAATAAAGAAGACACAGTGAAATCAGTCTAAGCATATTACTGCAATTTCAAGAAGATCCTTATTCAAAAATTAACAGCTCTTGTTTATCTATCCTCTCCCTCTAAATTTAAGCTTTGGTTTTTTCATGCTGCCATTTCACACCTTTATACTTTCAATTCTTCCTTCTTCTGAAAGCTTTTTCTCTATTCTGCTATAACATTCTTAACCACAAACCTCTCTCCTCTAATTATGTTTCCTTCATCCTCTACATATTTCCTTTCTATTTCACTCCCACCCTTTCTTCCTCATCTCACCCCATGCTCACCACTGAACAAAGAAGGAGTCTGCTTGGGGGAAGTAAAATGCATCATCCTATGTCTGCACATAATCTACATGCACTGTGGAATTCAGGGAGGGAGGGTGGTCCCTAATACACAATCCCATTCTTAGTGCTACTCTAGGATGGTGTGAATCAACCTACCCTTTACAGAGTCTAGTGCCTAGCAGGCACAATTTGGTCACCAACTGAGATATTAGACAGAATGCAAGTGCAGTCCAATTCAGCATATACACAGGGCAGATGTGTTCTCCAACTGCAGGCCTCCTTACATCCCCCTTACAGACCTGACAAGGTTTCCAAGGTCGGGTTCCTTTAACTCCACAAGTCCTTTTCAAAAGTATGGAAATGCGTATTCTGTGCCTCTGGCCCCAGCAGCTTCTGGGACCATGAGAGTTTCCTAAATTTTATAGAACTTCTCTTCCACTCCCCAATGACTGACTTCAATAGCTGTAGGGCCATTTAAGATAAAAATATCTAGGAATTGCTTAAGCCATCCCAGTGTTGGGTACAACTGTTCTATACCTGCAGTACTAGGCAAGAGTGTTTCAAGGAGCAGAATTAAATAAATAATAGTTCTAATCAATGAAAATGGTTCTCCACGATTACAGCATAAACTTCTAAGAAAATGCTGACTACCTTTTAAATGCTAACGCAAACAATTCAATAAGAGAAGCGTTTTAATGAAAGGATAACAAAAGGTAGGATGGGATCAGTGTACAAACAGAAATTCCATTTATAATTCCTAAATGCTTTGCAGAGTTGAAGGAAGGAGGCTTTATCACAATTAAGGACTTTTCAGGTGGCACATTAGGCCAAAACCTGACTACTATGCTGAAGCCAAATACAGAGATTTTACTCAGGGGTTCTCGATAAGACCTTGGCTCTAGATCACATATTAAACTGTTCTGCAGCCATTCCTGAAGCTCTTTGTTTTACACCTCCTGAGGAGATATTAGCCAACTGTGTTGGCTAACAGCATTTCTCCTGACTTCAGCTGAGACTTTCTGTTGCTTGTCTGTGGGCCCCAGTAACCTAATGCTTAATCTTTGCAACACTGTCCAAGAAGAGTCTCATCATGTTAAAAAGTTTGGTCAAACTTAGCTTCCTTAAAAAGAAAAAATGATAGAATGATACTTTATGAATGATTTCACAAAGGTAGTTTTTGAAACTGCTTTAACCTGCTTTGGTTTATTGTGGATTTACTCTATTGTAATTGAAAAGGAGATCAAAATCTTGCCATCCAAATTTATTTGACTCTAAAGTAATAATGCACATACTCCCTGATGTTTCCAGATATGGCCCGCTCCTCCTCCCATCAAAGCAAAGTCCACTTAGATCCAAAATCTAATAAATGTTAAAGAACCAAAACCAACTCTGATTGAATGGTTAGCCCTTATCCTAGCAAGAATTTGTCTTCTGAATATTTAAATATAGGACCACCTGTTCACAGAAATATTTTTTGTCTGAGTCCATAACACTTTCCCCCTTTGCCTCACTTATGGCTGACTTTAGCTATTATTCCATTGCCTCTTATCCTATCACCATACATTAAAGAGAATAATTTTTCTTCCTCCTTCTTGTAACACCTTTTTAGGTACTTGAAAGCTGCTATCATGTCGCTTCTCAGTTTTCTCTTTTCCAAACTAAACTCAGTTCTTTCAGTCTTCCCTCACAGGTCATGTTTTCTAGATCTTTAATCATTCTTGTTGCTCTTTTCTGGAGCCTCTCCAATTTCTCTGCATCTTTCCTGAAATACTGTGCCCAGAACTGGACACAGTATTCCAGAACTGGACACAGTTGAGGCCTAATCAGCACAGAGTACAGCTGAAGAATTACTTCTTGTGTCTTGCTCACAACACAACAAATCTTACAGTCACCTGTATATTTCTGGTTTTTATATTAATGTTATTTGAATGCAGCTTTCTGTGATTTATCTTCACTAACTGACCCTTTCACTCCTCACCTGCATCCCTCTGTCCTTCTCCACCTAGTAGTGACGTCTCACTGTGATTTAAAGTTAACATGATCTTCCCTCCAAAATGAAACCCTCTCCATGCCTGTGAGATGTGAGCATCTGCTGAGAAGTACTGAACACCATCAATGCAGGCTGACTATGAGTGCTCTCAAGAGTTTCAATCAATCCCTACGAGTTTCAATCAAATTAGTACAAAGATGATAAGAAAGATCCACTTTCTTGGTGGCAACTCCAATCACCAATTTTAGGAAATGTAATAAGGTCTGAAAAAGCCTTAAAAATTATTATATAAAGCCAGTGGGGAAGATTTCAAAATATTCTTCATTTGTTACAACAATTTTACAAACCAATGACCTGATATGTTCATTCTCAATGCAATCAGTGGCAAAACTTCAGTTGTCATGAGCAGGGGATGGAGTGTACCCATAACAGCCTTCTTCCGGAAACAAGCCGAGACTTAAACACCACTAGGGATGGAGACTAAACAAAGCAGAAATACCAAAATGAAAGCAAGAGCTAAATTCCTTGAAAGGATATTGATCATGAGTTCTTTGTCGTTTTGCAAGAGAATCCTCATCGCTTATTCCAGCCATCAAATACTTAAGTCCTGTGATCCAGGTGCGAGCCTCCTCCGGATTAGAGGTAATAAGATCTAGTGACTCCATGTGGTTGCCATGGTAAATGGTAAAGCAGCAACTTGGGTCAAAGTTCCCCTCAGTATGGCGATGGAATATTTCCGACTGTCGGCCTTCTGTCACTTTGTAAATTGAATCAATCACAACTGCAAGGAAAAGAGTAACAGAAAACTTAAGCTGCTTAGATATTCATCCAGTTTCTTTGCATTTTCAGATTCTTCAACATTCAACAAAGTAAATTTTTTTTGGTTTTTTTAAGTAAAGGCAAACTCCTAAGCCTTTGCACTGGAAAGGGCACTTTAGGTCATTAGCTGCCCCTTGCACATGTGCTGGGATATGTCTGAAAGGGGCTTACCCCATACTTGCATTCTTGCATAGCAAAACGGACAGTGCCAGTGATTTCCCGAGTGTAGACTCTGTTTCCTAAAATATCCATGGAGTGAAATTCGCTGCAGAAGGGGCAGAGAATAGATGGGGCACTGCTGCCCTCCACCCCCCACTCTGTTTTCCACCACAGAGCATGTGCTATACCATCCTAAGGGATATAAAAGAAGCTGTGCTTCAGCAGAGGAATAGTGCTCAAGGAGGGTACGTCTACACTACAGTGCTAGTTCGAACTAACTTAGTTCGAATTAGTCAATTCGAACTAAGCTAATTCTAATAAACGCATCTAGAACTAAAAACTAGTTCGAATTAGCGTTTTGCTAATTCGAACTAGCAAGTCCACATTGAGTGGACTCTGAACAGGGCTTAAGGATGGCCGGAAGCAGTGCCGGCAGGGCATCAGAGGAGGACTTAGAGCGTGGAGCTGCTGTCTCAGGCTAGCCGAGGGCTGCGCTTAAAGGGACCTGAACCCCACCCCGGACAGACAGTTCTAAGGGGTGCCCCGCTTGCAAACCAGTCCTGGCTTGGATTGCCCGGAGTACTCACACTGGGCACATCACAGCACTCGGCCATCAGCCCGGCTGCACTTGCCGCAGGCTGCCATCTGGGGAGAGGGGGCAATTGGGGGGCTGCAGGAGAGCTTCCACCCCCAGAAGCCCGCAGAGCCAGCCCAGTCCTCTCCATCGGGGGCGCGTACCCCATTCCTCCCTCACCTCCTTCCACTTACCCTTCCCTAGCCCCTTTTCTTGATGTACAAAATAAAGGACAATTGTGTTCAAAAATGGAATCTGTCTTTATTGAACAAAACTGGGGGAGACTGGGAAAAGGAGGTGGGAGAGGGGAAGAGAGAGGCTGGGAGAGGGGAGGGCAACTAACATGATCAGGGGTTGGGAACAAGTCCCAGATGAAGAGAGGCTACAGAGACTGGGACTGTTCAGCTTAGAAAAGAGGAGACGGAGCGGGGACAGAATAGAGGTCTCTAAAAGCAGGGGTTGGGTGGAGAGGGTGCATTCAGAAAAGTTCTTCATGAGTTCCCCTAAAGAAGGACTAGAGGACACCAAAGGAAAGGAATGGGTAGCAGGCTTCAAACTAGTAAGAGAAAGTTGTTCTTCTTGACAAAGCAAATAGTTAACCTGCGGAACTCCTTGCTGCAGGAAGCTGTGAAGGCTACAACTAGAACAGAGTTTAAAGGGAAGTGAGATCAAGTCATGGAGGTTGGGTCCATGGAGTAGTCTTAGCCAGGGGGTAGGAGTGGTGTCCCAGCCCAAAGTTTGTGGAAGGCTGGAGAGGGATGGCACGAGACAAATGGCTTGGTCACTGTCTTCGGTCCATCCCCTCCAGGGTCCCTAGGGTTGGCCGCTGTCGGCAGACAGGCTACTGGGCTAGATGAACCTTAGGTCTGACCCAGGACGGCCATTGTAAACTCAGGGCTCAGTGTCGGGGGGCTCAGTGGACCCCCTTGATTTTCATGCACACCTGCTCTTGGGTGGCCAGGTTGGCAGCTCTCCTGCCCTAGACGGCCACTTTCCTGTGCCTAGTGCGGAGATCGTAGACGAGGTCCACGATGTCCGCACTAGCCCAGGAAGGTGCCCGCCTCTTGCGGTCCAGGGCAAGCTCCCGGGAGCCGCCAGCCTGGTCCCGGGAAGAGGGGGTGGGCTGGGGGACATCGGGTGGGTGGCTCTGTGCCATGCCAGGTGCAGGGTCTGCTAGCTGGGTGCTGGCAGGCTTGCACCTGGCACGGGCACCATAGCCAGCCCGTGCCCCTTTAAGGGGTCCGGGGCCGGGAGGGGGGCAATAGAGTTTCCCTGGTGTTGGCCAGAGTGGCCACCAGGGAAACCTGGGGAGGGCTAGCCTCCCACTAGTTCGAATTAAGGGGCTACACACCCCTTAATTCGAACTAGCTAGTTCGAACTAGGCTTAATCCTCGTAAAATGAGGTTTACCTAGTTCGAACTAAGCGCTCCGCTAGTTCGATTCAAATTCGAACTAGCGGAGCGCTAGTGTAGCGCCTAGGAAAGTTAGTTCGAACTAACGTCCGTTAGTTCGAACTAACTTTTCAGTGTAGACATACCCGGAGTTATCATAATGCCCAGAGGAGCCGATCACCTATGCAGGCCCCTGGGCAACATGGGGAGGGGGAACGGTTCCATACCTGAATTCAATTGATATCTGGTAAAGACATTAAGTGGCTTTTCTTGGTCATCCTGCCTTCCTCCAGCATCCCACAGGAGAAGCCAAATTAGTAATTGCTCCAAATATAACCAACCTTTCCTAAAGAAGGGCAGCTGAAGAAGCTTTTGAAATAGGCAGGTTCTTTTCTACTAACCTAGTCATCCTCAGGTAACATAAAAGACATTTACACCCTGTCACTTGGACTCTATGCTCTTTACTGTCCATCAAGCACCTTACCTGAACACTCCATCTGCAGCTTCTAATCTGTGCAGCAATGATGCGAGCATGTGGCAGGGTGCTGTAGGGGAAGCCCTAATCAGCTCCTGACACTCTCTAGTCCCAATCAGGGGAGATGGGTTAGAGCCAACAGCCTCACCAGGTCCATGGGAAAGCAGGGGGACCCTTCTCTGCATTCACTGAAGGGTAGAGCCTTGGACAGAAGGGTTGGTGCTGCAGTAGCAGCAGCAGTGTGACTCAGAGCTCAGGCTCCCTCTGTCATCCCTTTCCCTGCCCCGCCATCCGTGGGCATGAGCTGGGCAATGAGTGGACACTGGCCTGGAAACTTCCCAGAGCTGTCAGGATCATTAGCCTGACCTAAAACTCTGGAGGAGGCAGTGAAAGCAGGGGAGAGCTGGAAGGAGGAGAGCTGGAGTAGCAGCAGAGAGAGGGATAGCTCTCCCCTCTCTCTTGCCTGTGGACTGTGAATGGGACTAATGGTAGGGGGGAAAGGTGGTGGGAGCGCAGCCTATAAATAAAAGCACAAGGTGAAATGTCTCTGAGTGACTTTCTCAGCCCAACAAGGGCAGAGCTGGAGGAGGGGATTGTAGCAGACCCTGTTACATAGAGAGAGTAAACCATAAAAAGGTAATTTCAGTACACTGATAGCTACTATTACTTTAATGACTGGGGTCATTCTTTGCAGTTTCAATGAACAGCTGCATTCTTCATAATTCTGCTACTACCCTACAATTACAGAGATGAACAGTATGGGCAGTTTGTTATTCCAGGTATTTGTTACACTGGGCTAGATCAAAGAGTAGAGAACAATATTTTAAATGAACTGCCTTTTCTAACTGGCTGTAGAGTCTTGTAATATTCCAATAAAATAATAATGACCAGACTTTGGCACCTAACCAAGTCATACACCCACCCATGAGTTTATGTATGATTCATGTAAACTTGAGTCAGCATTTTCACATCAGCCTGAATTGTGTTCTGTGTCATTAAAAGAGCAGTGTTTCCTTCCTTTAACAGCAATACTTGTAAAATTATAGACAAAATACAGCAACAACTTGCACGCTGTGCAACACCAAGGTGGAAAATAGGTCAATGGAGGGATGATAGGAGTTACTATAGAGAACTTTCTGGGTGTCTGGCTGGTGAGTCTTGCCCACATGCTCAGGGTTTAGCTGATCGCCATATTTGGGGTCGGGAAGGAATTTTCCTCCAGGTAGATTGGCAGAAACCCTGGAGGTTTTTCGCCTTCCTCTGTAGCATGGGGTACAGATCACAGCTGGAGGATCTCTGCATCTTGGGGTCTTCAAAGTATTTGAAGGCTTCAATATCTGAGATATAGGTGAGAGGATTATTCTAGGAGGGGTGGGTGAGATTCTGTGGCCTGTACTGTGCAGGGGGTCAGACTAGATGATCATAATGGTCCCTTCTGTCCTTAAAGTCTATGAGTCTATGAGGTCAAAGGTGCTCCCCATGGTTAAGTCAGTACTTAGTTTGGTGTGCTAAGTTTTTTTTTTAAAGTATATACTATTTACTATACATTCAGAAAATATACATCTCCATAGTCTACGTAGTGGTGATGGTGTGCAAAATGGACTAACCCAGCTTGGCACTCCATTCAGACTGAGTTTGCAGGGATGGCAATTGAATTGACACAATTTCACTTGTGAACTTAGTGCATTTTAAACAGCATCCAATGAGAGACAATAGTCATAGAACCCTACAATCTCATTTTTGTAGTGACTTTTCAGGGAAGAACGTTAATCCTTCTGTTCTTACGTAATAGCAACAACATGCCAGAGGCTTGTCACCGGGTGCTGTCAGATTCAATCTGGCCTACAAGACAGCTGACACAAAACCCTAAGCCAGCAGAAAGATTTCCAGGATTCTTTTTCCAAACTCCAGTTGAAGCGGGTTTTACAAACACAGAGCTATTCCTCACATAGTGTGGGAACTGGATATCAGCTTGGCTTTTATGTGCACACGTTATTCCCTCTCTTCACACCGTGCACTAGCATAACTCTAGGAGGTGGAATCTGGCTCTAAATAAACGTGATGTGTCCTTTTCATGAAATATGTTAATAAAGAGTTCTGTAAATTAGCTCAATATTTCTGGTTGCTTTTCTTCTAAGTCTGGAGTTAGATCATGGTATGTGATATTTCCCAGATTTAAGCTATTAACTGGACTATCTTAGGGTGTGTCTAGACTACAGAGTTTTGTCGACAAAAGTGGACTTTTGTCAACAAAACTATACCTGCGTCTACACTACCGCTGAGTTCTGTCGACATAACGTCGACGGAACTCAGCAGTTTTGTCGACGCTGGTAAACCTCATTTTACGAGGCATAACGCCTTTTGTCGACAGAGTTCTGTCGACAGAAGGTTTTATTGCATCTAGGGTTGTGTCTAGACTACAGGGTTTTGTCGACAGAAGTTTTGTCGACAGATTCTGTCGACAAAGCTTCTGTCGACAAAGAGCGTCTACACTACATTCAGTTCTGTCGACAAAGCAAGCTGCTTTGTCGACATGGCAGTGTAGACGCAAGGACAGTTTACATGCAATAACGCTTTCTGTCGACAGAACTCTGTCGACAGAAGGCGTTATGCCTCGTGAAATGAGGTTTACCAGCGTCGACAAAACTGCTGAATTCCGTTGACGTTATGTCGACAGAACTCAGCGGTAGTGTGGACGCAGGTACAGTTTTGTCGACAAAAGTCCACTTTTGTCGACAAAACCCTGTAGTCTAGACACACCCGTATTTATTTGTTGGTTCTTATCATCCCTAACGTACTAAGGCCAATAGTCTACTGCTCCTAATCAAATTATGGCTAGGTTTCTTCTACAAAGTAATCTGTTGGAAAATATTACTACACAGTTAAACTAGTCTTTGTACTACACAGTGCATGCATGCCAACATGCTACTAAATCGTTACTGTTAACATAAATACATAATCTTTTTAGCGACAACAGTGCCTTTTACAATGTATTTATTGTGCAAAAATGGTCTAAGTTTTATAAGTATATAACATTTTCAAGTATCACTAATAAAAGTTTATAAACTGAAAGATGCATACTGTAAAATACAGTTCTTTCCTCAATAAACCATGTGAATTCATATTCCAATGCACAATTTTTCAAGAAATTAAAAGAAATATTAAGAGAATTTACTTTTAGCTTTTTCACTTTTTCTGGATGGTCTCCATCTGATGCAGGTCCTGTGTTCGTCCAAGTAAAAGAGACGTACTAGCCCTTTTGTTCCACTCTTCAGCTTAATCATCTGAGTCCCAGACTGCATTACACTCATGCATCTTTCAACTGAAAAGAAGATTAGAACAAATTAAACTAAAAGGCTATTTTGTTATAATAATAAAAAGGACGTGCCAACTTTTAGACATATAACTACCATATAAAACCTTTGATTTGTACCAGGAGTTATATACTAATAAGAGAAGAAAATTGGAATGGGCTCATTTTTAGAAGACTTTGTAAAATCTGATCAAATGTAAGTGTGAGAATTGAATCTATTATCATTATGTATAGATAGCACTGATTCTACAAAATGGTCATTTATCCTATCCAAAGAAAGAATAATATTTAGCTTCTTTAAATACTTGAGAGTCTGCTTCCATTACCACCAATCCAAATGGCATGTGCAGGTTTTCAAGTTCAGAAACAGTGAGCACCAAAAACTCTTAGTGCTTTCACATCTATAAAGTCTAGTCAGATAAAATCCTAGTGTACAAACATGATTTGAAATAGAAGTTCAATAAGTGATATGTATTCAGGACTAATATTTTTAAGTTGGGATTTATCAAAGTTAAGGTTGGAATATTATCTGTTGACACCAACAATGAATATATTCATAGCGACATCACAAAAGGGAAGTCATAGTATTTTGCACTACAGAGGGATTCAATGTGTCATGATTATGCATAAGTGCATATTTTATTTTAAAGGAGTGGAGCGATGGTTGTATATTTTCAAAAAGGAAGGAGAAAATGTCCAGATGTAAAGGCTTCTCTGATGAGATTATTGCCATTTTTTAAAACAGATTACATTATTTGGTCAAATATTTCAGATTTTGTTATAAAGTGCATGTGCACTATAAAACATACAGTATCAGGATACATGTAATTCATCTGTAAACTTGAATTGTTTATATTTTGTTACATTAAAGACCTGATTCTGATCTTACATCAGTTTTATTCCTGTATAACTGTGTAGTAACTGTGGAGTTAGTAATAATTCACATCTCTCAGTGAGATAACAATCAGGTCCCAAAACTCTTTTACACTTTTTCAAAATAGACATGGAAAACAATCTTTCGGGATACTGGAATAGGAGAACCATAAGGATTTATTTGTGGTTCCCAGATCTTGGATGGTTCTGGATGGATAGGACCCCAAGATGCTAATGCTCTAGTCATGCTCCCTTCCTTTCAGCTATTACCTCAATTTGCCCCCTATCTTAGGGGGCCTGTGAGGAGTGGTGGTATAGTGATAACTTTATCAGTTCTATGCCTTCCTGGTTAGAATAGCTTTAAAGCAGGGGTGGGAAATACATGGCCCATGGGCCAGACGTGGTTCGTCAGGATTAATCTCTGGCCGACTGTCAGATACTTTATTTACCTGCGCATCCACAAGTACAGGTGCTCACAACTCCCATAGGCTGCAGTTGAGGGCTGGCTTGCTGAAATGAGTGATAAGGGAGGGTTGAAGGAAATTGTTTCCTTGTATCCCCCCTGTCTGAATGCACCTGTTGTCTCTTGAATTTCAATTATAGATGAATAGAGGGGATGCTGACATGTTAGCAATCTAGCTGACTTGTCTATCACTCCAATGTAAAGTTCAACAAAGTGCTTTGAAAAAGAGAAGAACTTATCTGGAGTTTCTCCCATTCTGTTTCATGTACGTTAATCCATCATCTCCTCACCCTATACTTTTTGAGTGGAGTACTATAAAGCATACTCTACCTGCACATCTTTAACTGCTGCCCTCAGCAAAGAAGAACAAGGAACTGTTCTAACTCTTGTAATCCCCAATCTGCAAGGTAGCATATGGAAGCAAACTAATGTCTGCATTATACAGTACAGCTTTTATATGCTGTGTGTGAAAAGTGCAATTTGGAAAAAAGATTTCTCATAATTCACATATATGACCTCACTAGGTCACCACAATTCATGTGGGTGACAGGGTATCTGTCCGCAATGGGAATCTTCTGACAGGAATAACAATAGCCTAAATGAGAGAGGAAGGTGCCATTCAAAGGCAGTGAAAGACAGGGATGAATATGAATCTTTTTTTCTGGCAAGCTTCTCCTCCATGAGACAATAAAATTCAGCTGTCAAAATGTCAAGTACTTTGGACTTCACAACAAATTAAGAGAGGGAAAAATTAATAAATCAACAATATAGTGAAGGGAAATTTTGTAGTAATTCCATGTTTATTTTCTGTAAATTGGATTTTATTTTCAGATTCTTATTATCATTCACAATATTATCAGTAGCGGTGGTGGTGATGATACATTAAGAAAAATTAAATCTAATAGCAATTTTTCAGTGACAAAGCTATAGCTCCACAGCGGTGTTCTAATGGGCACACAAACCCCTCTAGCTTACCGGTTCTGGGTTTTGATCCCACCAGAATCGTTCACTTTTTTTTTTATTGTATCACTTTGGTATATATGGTTGTGCTGATTTTCTTCCACATATTGATCTGAGGAAGTGGGTCTGGCCCACGAAAGCTCATCACCTAATAAACCATCTTGTTAGTCTTTAAAATGCTGCATAGTTCTGTCTTTTGTTTCAGCTACACCAGAGTAACACGGCTGCATCTCTATCACTTTTCTCTCTCTAGTAATTCTAAACTTGATTCTTTCTCCTCTATTCCTACAGTCAAAACTCTAATTCAGGTTATCTAGTAATTCTAAACTTGATTCTTTCTCTTCTATTCCTACAGACAAAACTCTAGTACAGGTTAGACCTCCCTGGTCCGGCACCCTCGGGACCTGAGCGGGAATTTTGCCAGACCAGCGGAGGTCAGTGCTCCCCTGCTAGCTGCCCTGCTCCCCAGCTGCTCTCTCTGGGGCTCCCTGCCCTGTCAAATGCTGGCTCAGCACGGCTCCCCACCCTGCTGCCCGCCCACTGCCCCATGGTCTCCTGGGGTCCCTGGTGGCAATCACTTGGCTGCTGCTGGTCCCGCTGCCGCAGGGTGTTCTCCGGGGTTCCTGGCTGAGGCCACCCAGCCGCTGCCAGCCCTGCTGCTGCTGGGAGTTCCCCAGCCAGGGCTACCCAGCCACCCTGCTGTTACTGGAGATCCCAGCTGCCCACCTCCACCAACTCCGCTTCAGCCAAGGGTTCCAGCAGAAGCTGTCCAGTCACCCCAGCCCCGCTGCCACTGGGGGTTTCCCAGGGTTCCTGGCCGAGGCCACTTGGCCGCAGACAGCCCTGGTGCCCCCCAACACCATCTCCATGGTGCTGCCTGTCTCCCCTTACCCCTGCTGCAGCAGTGGGGACCAGGGGGTACAGAGGTTGGTGCAAAGCAGCCCCTGTTCACAATGGCCTGGGCTGGCCGCAGACAGGGGCTGCTGGACAGCTCTTATTACATTTAAAATGCAGCGCCACAGTGCTCCGGATCAGTTCTACAGAGCACCTCCCCTTATTGACTAATCGTGTATTTGTATCGACTTCACAATTAGCCAAATACCCGTTCCTTAACATCCTTACTTCCAATTAAGAGGACACAGTAAAGCGTCATATTTCAGAGATTTCAGAACTAAACGTGACCCACAAAGGATCTAATCCAACCACTCTTACTCAGAAGAATAATTCTTAGTCACACATTGTGATGGGGTGTCCGTCCTACATTTGCCCTGATAGAGTTAATGGAGACCAGATAGGCCAATTAACTTATTAAGCAGCAAATCATGGAGATACAGGCTGAGCGGAGAGCTTTGATTACATGGAAGCTCATCAGAGTGTGCTGGGCTAGTATAAACCCAAGGAGCTGGGAGCAGCAAGGGATCAAGTACTTAGTCACACATTGTGATGGGGTGTCCGTCCTACATTTGCCCTGATAGAGTTAATGGAGACCAGATAGGCCAATTAACTTATTAAGCAGCAAATCATGGAGATACAGGCTGAGCGGAGAGCTTTGATTACATGGAAGCTCATCAGAGTGTGCTGGGCTAGTATAAACCCAAGGAGCTGGGAGCAGCAAGGGATCAAGTAAGAAGT